GATGCGGCTTGCACCCCCCCCGCTGCAGCTGCCCGGCCTTCGTCGCCGCCTCCACATTTCCCCTCACCCTGCCACCCTCCCTCCCCACTCGCAGAAGCGCGGCGTGCCTGTGTATCGCGTGGTTCATGAGCCCGGCTCCTTTGTTGTCACCATGCCGGATGCCTACCACGCCGGCTTCAACTGCGGCTTTAACGTGGCAGAGGTGCGGCGGGAGGGCAGGCTGGGGGGGGAGCGGCGTTTGCCGCGGCTGCAGCGGCAGCCGCGGCTGCTCGCTCGGGCTCAAGGGAACGGTGTTGGCGCGCGGCGGGATCCATGCTAGCCCACTCTCTCTCACACACACACACACACATAGCTCTCTCCCCCCCAACCACGCAGGCTGTCAACTTTGCGCCCCCCAGCTGGATCCCGTACGGTACCGATGTCACCGCCAAGTACCGCGCCAGCGGCAAGGCCCCCACCCTCAGCCACGACTCGCTCATGACCGCCCTGGTGCAAGCCGCGGAGCACAAGCCGCCGCCGCCAGGCAGCACGACTGAGGCGGCCGAGGCGGCGGAGGCGCGGCCGGGGGTGGCGGCGGCCGAGCAGGCCGCGGCGCAGGAGCCGGCGAGCGAGGAGGCTGCGGCAGCAGAGGCGCTGGCGAGCGTGGCGGCCGCCGCGGGCCCCGGAAGCGGCCCCCAGCAGCCTTCTGCGGCGCAGCCGCAGCCGCAGCCGCAGCCGCAGCAGCCGGCGCCGCCCACGCCGGCGCGGCGGGCAGGGGTAGGCGCCGGCCCGCCAGCAGAGGCGCTGTCGCCGCTGGGCCCCGCGCCGCTGCACTGCGTGCCGCCAGAGGCGATCGCACTGGCGGCGGGCGAGCTGGCGCTGCGGGCGGAGGAGGAGCGGCGGCGGCGCATGGTGGCGTTTGTGGCGGTGGGGGCGATGCCAGGTGGGTGGGGCTATGAGGTTCAGGCCGGGGAGCCGCGGTGGGAAGCATGTGTGGCGGTGGAAGCGCCTGCCAGCCTGCCAGCAGCAGAGGCCGAGGAGCTGAGCCATGCTGCCGCCCTTCCTTCTTCCGCGGACCCTGCTCACTGCTCGCGAGGCCGCCTGGCGCCGCCCCCCGCGCCCCCCTGCAGAGCGGCGCATGGCGGCGGATGCCCCGCCCGCCGCCAAGGACCGCTCGGGGCTGCACACCAACACAGCAGGTGCGGCACCCGCCGGGCACCCTGCCCCACCTTTGCCCGCCTCCGTTGCGAAACCTGCCTGCGTGCCCGGTTGCGGCTGGGGCGGCTCGCGTGAACTGCCTGGGGCCACTGCACTCGCGCCCCGCCTGCCCCGCTGCCACCTAACCGCCTCCACCCCCTCGCCCCTCCACCCTCTCGTCCCTGCGCCTCCCTGCAGACTGCGACTGCGCCCAGTGCAGCTGCGACCTGTGGCTGTCGGCGGTGGTGTCGCCCGCAGCCCCGGGGGTGGTGGTGTGCCCAGAGCACGCAGAGGTGCGTGGCTGTGGTGTAGTGGGTGCGACGGCTCACTGCCGTGTGGCCAACAGGCATGCCTGGCATCCGGCCAGCAAGCAGCACGCCGGCTCGCTGGCTGGTTGGCTGGCTGCGCAGCTCGCAACCGCCTAGCCCTGAACCCCGCTCCACCCCCCTGAGTCCCGCTCCTCCCTCGCTCCTGCCCTGCTTGCCGTGCGTGGGAGCAGGTGCTGGTGCGGCGGCACGGCTGCCCGCGCGACAGCCTGGTACTGCTGTACCGCCACTCCCCACAGGAGCTGGATGAGCTGGCGGCGGCGGCGGTGCACCGTGTGCCGGGCGCCAGCGAGGCGGTGGCGGCGGCGCGGCAGCGGCGGCAGCGCATCGAGGCCTCCCGCGTGCGCGCGGTGGCGGCAGGTGGGTGGCGTGCCTGCACCCTGCCTGTAATCTCCTGCCTGCAATCGCCTGCCTGCCTGCCCTCCTGCCTGCCCGCCCGCCCGCCTGCCTGCCTGCCCGGCATTAGTTCACAGTACCCGTGGCGACTTTGCGGGGCTGGGGTTTGTGTCATCTGCTGGGCAGCGCCTGACGCGCAGGGCGCCTGCTGCCGCCGCCGCCGCCTCCTGCAGGGCCACTGTACCCGATGCTGGGGCCGGGGCTGCCGGCGGGCGCGCTGCCGGTGCCTCGCGACGGCGGCGACTGCTGCTCGTCGTCAGATGAGGAGGAGGAAGGCAGCGACGACGATTGGGAGAGGGAGCGGCGCCAGCGGCGCCGCCGCGCCGCCGGCACGCGGCGGCGCAGCGGCGGCGGCACCAAGCGGGCGGCCGCCTCGCGGATGGGACGCATGGAGGGGACGGGGAGGGGGGATGGTGCCAGCAAGCGTGCGCGCATGGGCACCGCAGGCCCCGACGCCGCGCAGGCCGCGGCACCGGCGCTGACGCCTGCCGACATTGCGGCCATGTTTGCGCACGCCCAGGCAGCGCCCAGGCCCGAGGCGCATGCGGCAGCGCATGCGCAGGCCGAGGTGGCGCCCGCGGCCCCTGCTGCGCCCCAGCCAGCAGCGGGCGCGCCAGCCCTGGCAGCGGGTGCGCAGGGGCTGGCGGCGCCCGAGCCGGCGGCGGCGGCGGAATGCCAGGCGGTGGAGGCGGCAGGGCCCAGGTTGGGAGCCGCCGGCCCGGCAGCAGCAGGCGTGGAGGCGGCGGCGGCCGCGGCAGAACCTGCAGTGGCGCCGCCGCCAGGTGCAGCAGAAGCCGAGGCAGGGGCTGGGCCGCTGGCGCCAGGAGGCGCGGCCGAGCCCGAGGCGGCAGCGGTTGAGGCGGCAGCGCCTTCAGCATCACACGCTCCAGCAGCAGAGGTGGAGGCAGCAGATGATCTGGAGGAGGCTGTGGCAGCCGGGGAGGAGCAGGCGGCGCCTGCAGCCATCTCACCAGCAGACGTGGCCGCTGATCCAGCGCAACCGAGCCGGGCGCACGCGACGGCGGTGCAGCTGCCTGCTGCCGCCGCGGAGCCATCTGCTGCACCGCAGCCGCCGCACGAGCAGCAGCGGGAGCCTTTGCCCGAGCAGCGCCAGCACGCGGCCATCCCGGCTCAAGCAGAGGAGCAGCAGGCGGCAGCCGACAAGGGGCCACCTCAGCAGCAGCAGCAGGCAGCTCCAGAAATCGAAGCCATGCTGGAGCGGCAGCAGCATGGGCCAATGGAGGAGCAGGGCGCAGTCCCTGCAGAGCCCGCAGCTGCCGTGCTGGCAGCGGATGGCGGCGAGTGGCGCCTGGGAGGCCCGTCTGCTGCTGCTGCCGTCGGGGCTGGTGGAGATGCTGCCGCCGAGGCTCCCCAGTGTGGCGAGCAGCCGCCGCCCGCGCTGCAGGATCAGAAGCCCTTGCCCGCAGCGCCCGAGGCAGCGCCCGCCGCTGCCGGCGTGGCGGCAGAGGGCGACGGCGTGGGGCCAGGATTCAACGTTGCCGACCTGCTGGCCTAGGCCCCACGCCATTCAGCGGCACCCACAGCGTGGTTGCCCTCACCGAATGTGTTTGTTGTACAGCTAGCAAAGCAGCTACTTGCAGCCATCGGCCGACTTGTTTACCCTTGTACGTGTTTAGCACTGGCCTGGCGTAGTGAGCAACAGTATGTGGGACGCAATGAGGCATTTTTGTTGGACTACGAACAGTATTGCCTGCCTCGACTGATGTTTTCTGCGCTACCTAACCACTTAACTAGATGAAGGGCAGGTAGGCCTCCCGGTAAGGATGTGCCCCATGATGGGCATGATGGCCCCCCACCTGGAGGGTCATTGGGGACATCATCCTCAATCATGCATCATTCTCCCTCCCGTTTGTTCTGTTGGCATCCCAGCAACCGTAATATGCTTTCTAGGACATGAGCCAGCACTTTAGGGTGAAGGTGGTTAGCAAGACCACGGCCCCCAGGCCTCTAGACGGGCCACAGCCAAAAAGATCCCGTGCAAGTAGACCAGGACAACAAGCTCCCTTCAATGTGCCAGGGCAGGCCAGGCGGCGGGGTGAGAGGGATGACAACGAGGATGAGCGAGCACCCAGCGGCTTCTTAGGCTGGGGCGACCGGCAAGGACGCAAACGTGATCACTGGGAGGCTCGGCTCGGAGCGGACGTGGATGCCTTCTTGGCCTCTCTGCCGGGCCGGGCGGCGCAGCAGCGGCAGGAGCGCCAGCAGCAGCTCCAGCAGCGGCAAGCCCAGCTGGCCAGCATGGAGCCGCTTCCTTGCCACTTAGCAGCAGAAAATGGCAGCTGCTGGGAGTTTCACAAGACGGGCAGCCAGGCAGCTGTGTTTTATGGGCCGCTCGGCGTGGTGGGCAGGCTCACGTTGCCGGTATGGGAGTGCAAGACGCATGGGCGCCCCATTATCACCGTGCACCCTCTCCAGATCAGCTGTGTGCCGACTGCGCCAGTCAATAACACCAAGCTGCTTGATGTGGAGCTTGTCAGGCAGTTCCGCTTGCTGCAACTGCTCAACGGCGTGGGGGCGCACGGTAAGAGCATTGCATCTTGTGGCGCCCTGGCCCGCCCACCACTTCTACCTGCTACTGTCGCACTGCGGTCATTTCTGTGCAGATGCCAAGTGTACAGCTGCTGCTTCCATGTGGGCTGTGGGGCTCTTATGTCCATCTCAGCCCCAAGCAAGGGCGGCTACTGTCTCACAGTTGGCTGACACTCCCGTGTGCTGCCCTTCTTGAACCCCAAGTGCAGCCTACGTGCAAATCCACCACCTGATGGCCACTTCGCTGCAGCCTGACTACGGCCGCGACCTGCCGCTGGGTGATGAGGACCTGGCTGCAGCGGCGCATGTGTTTGAACGCTGGTGTGGGATTGCACAACGGTGCATTTGCAAACACCGGCATGTGGAGCCCATGATGAACTGCCTTGTTTGCGCCCTCAGCCTCCGGCCGTCCTTACACGATGGTGAGAGGCTGGCAGGGGGCTGGGGCATGCTGTTCCAGCCAGCTGCTCACTGCCACCTTTGGCTGGCAGGCACTGTAGCTGGGGGCAAGCTGGGGGCAGACTGTCGCAGCTTGCTGCCCACAGCCAGCTTTAAGAGGCATGCTTTTGCAGGCGGGTGCTGCGGGCGTGGCAGGGCATGAGGCACGCTATACAGCTGTCTGGCGCAAGGCACAGCCCTTGCATGCACACACACAGACG